ACTTGTTCGAGAATGTATAAAACTAGAGCCATATCCGGAAAGAAATTTTTTTAAATCACACATAGAAGCAGCTGGAGTATATCAAATTCCACAACTGTGCATCCTTAGGCAAATATTTTTCGGCAGATCGTTCTAGTTAAAACAATTGAGACTGACATCACGACTGTGAGAAAAAAATCCCCTTAAAATCCCAACTTTCTAGCTTTTCTGGTTCTCGAATTAACAGCTTACCCGGCAAAAACTCTCACAGGCCCTTACGTGAGAACCACGTGGACAAGAGTGTCCATTTTGGAGCTAGTGGCTCTGCATATGGATTAAGTTCCCAAAGTTTCAACCTTATAGTTTTTGTAAGTCTCAAGATGAAAAATCAGTAAAGACGAACACACACACACACGCACACGCACGCACGCATACACACACACACACACATACAGGCAACCTCTCGACAGTCTGTGTTTTTGCATTCCACAGATGCAAAAGCTTATAAAAAGCGACTAAGGCGGAAAGAAAACTTTCATTATTGACTTGACTTAATTTTGATTCACGGTGCCCTTCACTTGTTTTTTTGAGTGCTTCGCTGCCTGGAGACTCAGCCTTAAACCACAGTGGCTCTAAGTCGTCTTAAGCCCTAATTAAAGTATTTTAGGTATCTGGCTTAGCAATTCGGCCGTACATATCACGATGTGCGGTGTGCGAGGTGCCAACACAAATTCTGGCGGTGCATTCGCAAGATTCCAATGTGCCGCAGTGTCCACGAGGATGGTCACCACTCTACTCCGGATACTCGTTTGTCATGGTACTCTGCTCCACTTCAATCTATTTTCAGCAATGCTTTCTTTCAAATACTTCATATCAGGAGCATATTCGGGATCCGACAGTATAAATGTGATCAGCACATGTTTTTTTGAAGTTTTCCTGCAGAGAGTCCAGGATCCGGCTCTGCCAATAGAGAAACCAATCCCCCTACCATCCATTCATTCACTTCGATGAAACATACATTTGTCGAGAGCTTGCCCGAGAGTTAAACTTGTTGT